TCATGGCCTGACATCTAATAGTCACTTGAACCCTCCCACTTTTTCGCCTTCTTTTTCCACCTCCTTTTCACAAATCCGCCAACTTCTCTGCCTTCTGTTAACATGTCCCATTACTTCCTGTGTCACTGCCCAGTCTGCTGGGATACCCCAGAGCAGGAAACCAAGTGATCTGATCCAGGAACTTGGGTAGCATTCATCGGAATCTCCCCCATAAGAGGACACACTTCCAAACTTCACCGGTAGAAACAGGCCTGATTTAAGATGGCGGCTGGTGTGGCAACATGGCTGCCATTTGCACGGGCAGCGGCGGTGGGTTGGCTGCCGCTGGCCAAGAAGACGATGCCAAAACCCCCAGTGGACAATTCATCCAGATCAGATGAGATTCTCTTCGTCAACGTCAGCGGTGTCAGGTTTCAGGTGTGTATGGCTTCCACGGTGATCTTGTAATTACGAATTGTTGTCCCACTTGGTGGGCTGCAGCCCACAGTCTACACCGGGCATGGGCAAACTAATGCCTCCCTTTTAGCTTTTCAATCCGGCCCGCCAAACTTTTACAGATGATATAGCTTATTCATATTATGATTATACTTCTGCCTTTTCCCTGCAATACCCACGATTCCCCAATAGATGGCGTAGAATATGATAAAATCATTTTGGCCCTTTAGCCTTTATGCATGACTTTTACATGTCATTTATCTTAGTTCACACGAACGCTCCATCTATCTGCTCCTGACCCCGCCCCCCTGTTCAATTTTAGAACTGGCCCGCGAGTCATAAAGTTTTCCCACGCCTGAGCTAACGCTGTTAGCAATTTTTAACCTTCTGCTTAAGTTTCTATTCAGCCCACAGGAAAAGTTGATACAATTTTGTTAAAATGTGTAATATTTATGGTGTTTTTACTGTGGTTTTATATCAGACCTCAAATATATTAGTAATAAATATTATAATTCCTCCATTAACCCATTACTTCTCAAATAGTGGGGCAAGTGCGGGGGTTGGGCGTGAAGGGCTTCCCATGGAATATGGCACGTGCGCCGCTGCTGTAATGCTTGAACAATAAACAAGCCTCCAGTCACTAGGTGGCAGCAACTCACACAGTGGTTTGTACAGATTGTACAGAAAATGATGAGGAAAAAATGTTGGTAATATTTTAGTTTAAAAGAACATTTTAAAGCATGAACTGAAACGACCACTTCATCAGATGGGGCTTTGGATAAAAAAATCCCTTAAAACCTTTGACTGTATTGTATTGTTGTTTCAGTCCTGATAAAATATCATCACTCGTTCACCGTTTTGTTTCTGTTTTCCCCTCAGTCCTTGCTGTTGTACATGTTGTTGTTTAATAAACCAAAACACGTAAGTTCACACGTGTTTAATAAACCAAAACACGTAAGTTCTCTATTTTTTCATCTTTTAGACATGGAAAAACACGCTTGACCGTTATCCTGACACACTGCTGGGATCTTCCGAGAAAGAGTTCTTCTACAATGAGGACATGCAGGAGTATTTCTTTGACAGAGACCCTGAAATGTTTCGGCACATTCTAAATTTTTATCGGACGGGGAAGCTGCACTATCCCAGACATGAGTGCATCCAGGCCTTTGACGAGGAGCTGGCCTTCTACGGAATAGTGCCAGAGATCATCGGGGACTGCTGCATGGAGGTAAAACTGCAGCATCACAGAAAACAGACAATGCTAGTTTCGTTCGGAAACTGCTGAGTCACAGTGGCCACCCAGGGGTATCGGTTGTTGAGTGTTTCAGATGTTGAGGTGTAGAGTGGCCTGGTATGTTTACATAAACAGTAAAGTCAAAATACAGCTCAAGTTACCGCTACAACTTTTGGTTTCATAGGCTGACTTAGCGTTTTAAGAGCTGACTTTTGTTATATATATTTTTTTCCATTGCTAGTTCGAAGCAGTTGTTGCCTTGTTTGTGGCTAACTTTGCTGGTGGCTTACAATTTCGGTAGGACGTTAGTTTTAGATTTACTTTATTTTTTGTTAAGCTTTATTGTTATTTGTTTAAGAATCTATTTCATACGTATACTAGTCTTTTTTTTTAGACTTTTTTTTTTCATTTTAATTTATTTTCTAACTAATGGGTAAGTTTACCACTTTTAACTCTGGTTGTTCTCTACCGACCAAAGTGTAGAGATAACAATGTAGGAAAGTCTGGATAAATCCAAACCTTCAAAAAAAACTGACAAAAAAAAAAAGAACTTTTCTTACATTTCTAAAGCTCAGTTCAAGCTTCAGCTGTCGGTCCTTAAAATACTGACTTGGATGAATGCACTGACCGATTTCTAAAGCTCAGTTCAAGCTTCAGCCTTAAAATATTGACTTGGATGAATGCACTGACCTGTTGTTCTGCGATGGACTAATTAGATATTTGCATAAACAGAAAGCGAGTGACAGCCTCTAAGAGTGTGTCTGTGACAGCAGCATGCTGCAAATTACAATAACTGAAGGGCGTTTCCGACAGAACCTACAGCAGTGCATTCAAAAACTGATGGACTGGAACCAAAATAGAAGCAGGTCTAGTCCCGTCTGCTGGACCTTAGTACCTAAAAACACTGCGAGATATGTAACTACTCCTAGGGGTTGTATAGAGTGGATCAGGACATTTGAGTGAGGCGTTTGACCAACTGTTTGACACTAACTGTTCCAAACCTCCATTATCACAATTCCCAGTGGAAGTGGTTCTACAAACATTAGCAGGAGGCAATTGGACAAACAACAATTAGTTTAACAGGGCTTGTTATTAGTGTGAGACAGATGTCCAGGTGATAAGTCCAGCACAAACCCTGTTTTTCTGTCCCTCTCTGCTTGCTCCCACAAAGGAATACCGAGACAAGAAAAAGGAGAACCAAGAGCGTTTGGCTGAGGACACAGAGGCCAATGAGGCAATGGACGCTCCTCTTCCCCCACACAGCACACCAAGGGAACGTCTGTGGAGAGCCTTCGAGAACCCCCATACCTCCACAATGGCGCTGGTGTTCTACTACGTGACAGGCTTTTTCATCGCCGTCTCTGTCATTGCAAATGTGGTGGAGACGGTCCCATGTCGGCCTCCCAAAGGCAGCGTCAAAGACCTTCCCTGTGGCGAGAAGTACCAGCTGGCTTTCTTCTGCATGGACACGGCCTGTGTGCTTATCTTCACGTTTGAGTACCTAATGCGTCTGTTCGCCGCACCCAGTCGCTGTAAGTTCATGCGCTCCGTAATGTCGGTCATTGACGTGGTGGCCATCATGCCCTACTACATTGGCCTGGTCATGCCGGAGAACGAAGATGTGAGCGGGGCCTTCGTCACTCTCCGGGTTTTCCGTGTCTTCAGGATCTTCAAGTTTTCCCGTCACTCTCAAGGTCTGAGGATTTTGGGCTACACACTGAAAAGCTGTGCCTCTGAGCTGGGCTTCCTGGCTACACACTGAAAAGCTGTGCCTCTGAACTGGGCTTCCTGCTCTTCTCCCTCACTATGGCCATCATCATCTTCGCCACTGTCATGTTTTATGCTGAGAAAGGCACCAAAGGCTCCACGTTCACCTCCATCCCTGCCTCCTTCTGGTACACCATAGTCACCATGACCACGCTCGGGTGAGTTAAGGAGATTTTTCTCTGGTGTTTTTCTGCTGTTGCTCCTGGTGTATGTGGTTTTGTGTTTGAACACAAACATATTTTAATTGGTCCTAAGGAGAAATGCACCGTCTTTCTCGACCATGAAAATAGACCAAGTGTGAAAAAAACAAAAATTGTGCGTGTTGCTTAGACTTCCTCCCACTCGTTGCTTCTCAAGTTGGGTTGGTGTATCTTCATGCTGCTGCCACTCACCTACACAGAAATTCTCTTTGTGTGTGTGTATGTGTGTTTGTGGATAGACACTTCATCACTAGAGCCTTAGGACACGACTAAAATATAAATCTTCGCATCAACACTCCAAGAGGCTAGGGATTCAGTCGAGATCATTTTAAAAAATGTCTTGAGAAATCTATTGAACAAAGTAAAAGTACTGTGGTAGCCTTTTTTTTTAAATTTATACCCAGAAAAGGGTATAAAGTAAAGGTAGCATAGACTAAAATTGAGAACAGTTTGCTAAATACTAGTAGGACTTTGGTTAGATGCCAACTACACTGAAACAAAATGTTACTTAATTGTAATTGTGAGTGTTAATCAATTAATATTTATAACATAATACCAAATAGTGGCGCATGTCTCTGTCTGTTGTGGAACCCCAGGGTTCACCTCCTGGGCAAGATCGAATCCTGGTTAGGACGGTTGGTACCTTCCAGTGGACTCACCACCCACAGGAAGGTTTGGGGGGTTGGTATGGTGCAGTGTGATTTGGGTGGCGACTGCTGCCCCCGCGACCCGGTAACGGATAAGTGGATGAAAATGGATGGATGGATGGATGGATAATACCAAATAGTCTGTTGTCATCATTTCAGCTTTTCTCTTGGTTGCGCTGCTTCCAGTCACGTATACTCAAATCATCATGTGTTGCTAAGGGGACCTGCAGCCTAAAATGAATGGCAATGTCCTATTGGGCTCTAACGACCCCCCCCGCCCCCATCCACACCTCAACCCTTGTGACCACAACATTCCTCCCTTTGGTATTGGATGTGGTCACCCGCTTTGTTCTCTCCAATGACCCTCTCTTTGAGGTTTATTTAGCCTCTCCGAGGTAAAACACCAGAATTTTTTCAGCAGTTAGTTAGAACTGAAGAAGCCTCTTGGATGAGAGGTGAAACATCTTCAGAAGAACTACTCTAGTCCAGTTACCCTTGATGTAACTACTTTGGATAAGATGACCTGGATGACTGAGAACTAGAACTAGACAGGAAATTAATTACCATAATTTCCGGACTATAAGCTGCCACTTTTTTTCACACGCTTTGACCCTGCGGCTTAAACAATGATGCGGCTAATTTAGGGATTTTTACGGGCTAACGAGGTTCAGACCGCTAGCGTTCAAAGACTTTTCTGGTAGGCTACTGTGTGTTATACTAGTAGCGTATGTCTGTCTGTGAATGGCTGTGAGCGTATATGTGCGTGGGGCATACGAGAAAGAACGGTAGCGAAAGTTGAGAGCAGTTTGAGCCCTGTCATGTTGAAGGGAGTTAGCCCCGGAGCTAATGTTAGCTTTATGTGTTCCAACTACGGTCGGGGGGGGCCAAAGTTTTAATATTATTAAAAGGGAAAAAATATAAATATCCCATGTTACAATGTGGACACCTGTGTCTTCTAGAGAAGTGTGGCCTATATATGTACAATCATTTTTTTTCTTTTTAAATTTAGTGGGTGCGGCTTATATTCAGGTGCGCTCAATAGTCCAGAAGTTACCGTAGTTTTTATTTAATGAATCAGATTTTGAGTTGGCTACACCACACCCTCTAGCAGGTGCACAGTTACGTCAACAATTTAAGTTAACTGCATCTGTAGCGACTTGCACGCAAACAAAGTTTTCTCTTCATCCACATGTGGAGCCGACATTATCAGCCTAAACAGATTATTTGAACTTTTGCCGTAAATACGACAGGACCGATTGCACTATTAGCATTAGCATGGATGGAAATAGAAAAAGACTTAGTGGAATGTGACATATGGATAATCAGTACAATCAAGCATGTGATTTGTGTGCACACACATATATGTATATATATATATATATTTTATTGATTCAAATGTCATCACTTTTTCTCAGTGGTAGTGAATTTATTTTGGTTTTATAGCTTTATTTTTTTAATTAAAGTTGAAGTTATAATATGTAGAATGTAAATTAAAAAAGAAACGCTACAGTGTTTTCATAATAATTTGCAAATAGGAATCTTTTATTGTGACAGTCTCCCCTTAGTCTTCTGTTCCATTAGTTATTATCAGAGAAAGTCAGGCTTTTAAATGATTCCACAGAGAGGAAAACACAGCAATGCTTTTACCTCACTCTCTACTCGTCCTCTCTTTTACCCTTTCTCCAGAATGTTCTTGCATCCTCCTTACTCTCTTTTCACCTTCTTTACTTCCACTTACTCAGTATGTCTTCACCTCTTCTTCCCATCTCTTCTGAACTAGCTAAAGCTTATCAGTAGCGCAGCAGTTTTGTGTGTGCGTGTGTTGTCGTTGTTTTCTGTCTTTCTCCAAAACTCAGTACTCTCCCATGAGGTTATCAGACGGGTTTAGCAAACAGTGAAGCGCAACTCTGGTACAGTGAGGTCCTGGTTATGTTTACAGATTCAGATGTGACACAAATACACATCAACTTAAAAGAAGAATTTTAATTAGATAGATAGTTAGATAGATAGATAGATAGATAGATAGATAGATGGATGGATGGATGGATGGATGGATAGCTAGCTAGCTAGCTAGCTAGATAGACAGACAGACAGATAGATAGATAGGTAGATAGATAGATAGATAGATAGATAGATAGATAGATAGATAGATGGATGGATAGCTAGATAGGTAGGTAGGTAGATAGATAGATAGATAGATAGATAAAATTAATGACTTGCATTGCATCTTTGACTGTGATTGATGGCGCTATGACTCTGTTGACCCTGGCAGTCCGGATTCTGTCTCTATGAAGACATGACAAATGAAAGTTTCTCCACTATGTGACTCTAAGTAGCATAATTAGCCTCTGTAGCACAGTCAGAAGCCTGGACGCCCCCATTGCTGTTATTGTGTATTGTAAGAAAATTCAGCATTTAAATGGACTCGGTGAGTATGACTGAGGTCCCTGTAGTGCACATCTCAGGTCTGTATGTGGCGCTGTGTCACTTCTGCTCTAACATACTAACACAGGAATAACATTTTCGCGCATGAATCTTTACTGCTATAGATTGAGCTGCAAAGGGTGTAATAATTAGCGGTAGCACACCAAGTAGCATAATTAGCATCTCCAGCACAGTCAGAAGTAACCTGGCATTCCCCAATGTTGTTATTGTGTGACATAGAGCAGGGGTGACTGGGGTAAAAGGGTTACAGGGAGGCGGGGCTGACTGCATTGATCGCTCTGGGACCCGTATTTGGAAAGCATGGAGTTGTCCGTTTGTTTTTGTCAAAATAAAAGGCCGAATCGTGACCATTGCTCTGGGATCTGCAGTTGTAACAGCTTCGTAGACACCACCTTTAACTATGACAGTGCCATTAAGTGTCACCACTAATCAAACCACTCATGCTGGGATTTAGCCGTACAGTACCGTACTGTTTATATCAATGATTCGGTGGTAAGTTTTTCTTTCCTACCGAACCCACTTTGGCCTCTGTGGTGTTTTACGCAGTGTCATTCCCAGCACAGCCTCTGAAACACAGCCACCCCCAGAGGATGAACCCAACCACCCACAGTGTCTCCGTCTCAGTTTTCCTGTAAGGATCTGAAGCTCCGAGGAGAGCTGAGGTTTGGATTATGGATCGATAGGTAAGGTGAGAACGTCAACCTAAAGCTGCTGCAGGTTCTCTGCAGATTCCGTCGCTCAGGTCGTTGGCGGCGTTTTATCTCCTCACGAACTGAACTATAGTTTTCTGTGGAGCATTCATTTAGAGAGAACTCTTTTGAAAGAAGTCTGTTTCTTGATCAGTTTTTAATATGATATATGATATTTTATTTTATGTTCTGGATTCCATTTACAGTGAGTTACCGAAAGCATCAGCAGCAGATCTGATCACATCTGATCCGAGTGTTAATGTATACAGGAAGAACAGTAGAACATCAAACCTCCACTCACTCTTCTGGTTCTGTTTGCTATCACGTTATTTAACTCTCAGTTTGGTTCATTTAGTTCAGACGAGACCAGAGCAGAAAATGAGACATGTAATCCAGGTCCTAGTCCAAAGTTCTGGTCCACACAACCAGAGACAAAATGAAAGCTCCATCAGTCAAAGGTCCTTTGCCTTGTTTTTTTCCTTATCGTTACTCACTTCTGCTAACTCTTCTTAGTGCTGATTCTCTTTCCTTTTTCTCATTTCTTTTAAACTCTTCATCGTCTTTTCCTCCGATTCAGCTCATCCCATTTCTCATTACCCTTATCTCCTCATTCTCCCCTCCCTTCCTCTTCTTCTTCTCCTACTCATTCTTGTTCTCTTCCTCCTATCTCCATCAACCTTTTTCTCTCTCTTCCTCTTTTCTACCATTCCTCCGTGTTTTCTCCTGTTCATCCCGCTTCCTGTCCCTTTCCACTGATTCATTTTCATTTCCCCCCCTTCTCCTCTTGCTCTTCTTTCTCCCCCACCTCCCCATCCTCTCCCTTGTTGTTTTACTTTGATTCATTTCTTTTCCTTTTCTCATTTTCTCCCCTTTTTTATTGCTCTGCTGCTGTTTTTTCCCCAGTTTTATTACAGATTAAATAAAATGAAAGTGGAATTGTAATAAATAAGAGGTGGAATTGGAATCCCCTGCAGCCTCAGCTTAACCAATAAACATGTTTGAGGTGAAAAACATCAGACCTGGTCCGATGTTTAGTCTTCTCTAGAAACAACCAAACAATTACACCGTCGTTGTCTTCAGGAGGAGCAAGCCTTAATTTGTTCATTGATGACTTCAGTCGTAATCATTCATTATCTCATAGATTCCAAAGGGAACTCCCAAGAGATTTATAAAGTTA